TTGCTCGAGGAAAGCTTCGCGGCGACGGTGAATATTGAAAAGCTCTTGGCGAAAAACACGGTCTGGCCGAGGCGAGCGACTCCCGTTTCTATCGTAAACGGAAGAAACGCGAGGCAAACGAGCCCGATAAGATACACGCCGGCTGGCGTGGAAACAAAGGACCAGCGACGCAGGACTCCGGCGACGAGGCCTCCGCGGCCTCTCGCGCCAGCGCCGCCGAAAAACATCGTCCACTTTCCTCGGCTATTCCTGGATCGCGATAGCACTCGATCATCGGACATGAATCTTATAAATAACAGCTCGCAAACGCTCGCGTCGCTCTCGATTGATGCAGTCACGAATATCCTGATTGTCTATTTTTAACGCTTCGAGGATTGTTTGCGAAACCTGCGGACTCTAAATTAGATTTCGAATGCTCAAACAGAGAATAAGGAAACTATGCTCTTATCTCTCGCTGTTCCAGTAGTTTCATTTGTTTGCAAGTTGGTACTCCGAACGTGAAAGTTTCATCTCGGCAAAGTCGAGACTCCACGTATTCTTCCTACAAAAATACCCGATCCGAGGGAAACGTTATCCCAACAACGAATTCTCATGGCACAACTGTCGTTGATCGTCCGTGACACGGAAATTCGTGGTTCCAACGTACGCGTTGAAACTGCGGTCGGAGAAGGGCGCGACTCTCCGGGCACGGGGAATAATCCGGGGAATCAGGTGCAATGACTGTTCATTTTCCGCGTCGGCCGCGTTCGATCTCCCTCGAATTATGCGATCGTAAAACGGTCGGGCCGGGGGAAAAAGTGTTCCAGAAACGGGAACGGGGCGAAGGAGGGAGAACGGCGAAGGAGCAGAAGAAGAGAGAGGAGCGTTTCGCGTGAGCGCCATAAGGTGTACAGCGATCGCGGCGTCCGCCGCGGTGAGCACGGCATAGAGCAAGCGTACCTACAACGACGATGCACCTGCACCTGCCCGGCAGTTGCACCCCTCTTTACGACGATGCTATCTAGGATGGTGTGCATGCCCCCCTCGCCTGTTCGCTTTCGCTGCTCCTGCCGACGCGACACCTGACGCTCGCTCCTCCGTCCACGCACAGTTCGCTCGCCGTCTCTGTCTCTCTTTCTCCTCCTCTTTCTTTCTCTCCTCTCCTTTCCTCGCCCGTTCCTCTCGTACGCGCGCGCGTGCTCCCCGCCTGTGCGCCGCTTTGTGAGAAGTACCATTAACCTGCCTTCTCACACATCCACCCGCTCCGACGTTTCTACGGGCGGACCTAACTTGTTGGTCGCCGACACCCATTTCGTAGGAATTTTGGCGGTTCCGATGACTATATTCTTCGCAGGATATTTCACCGGTTACGAGCGTACTCGAAAATGACACGGTACACGTGGTTTTTGAAGTTCTGGATCGACGGTTTCATCGAACCGAGTGCGAGACGTGCGCGTTGAGAATTATTCCGTTATGATTGATAAGAGTATTTAAGCGAAAATTATTCCTGCAGAAGGTACCCACCCGGAAACTCGGTAGAAAACTCGCCACGGTATCCCCGAGGCTGAAAGTGGTTGGTCGCGCGAGGAACGAGTCGTAACCGGACGGTTTATTGTTTCAGATATCCCGGCGCAAGTGCCGCCGTTAACACCTGGGACCAACAAGAAGATGACCGAGGCGCTGGAGGCCTCTTTCGCCTCCTGGGAGAAGGAACGATTTCGCCTGAACATAACCAAAGGTCAGTAGCTCCGATATCTTTCTCCTAATTACTCGCGATCCCGGCGCTCGCTCTCCGTCCGTTCTTTTGTATCCCTGCGGCCGTCCCGGGCGCATCCTGCGAGGCCTTCAACGACTTCTAATTACAGGATCGAGATATTACGATTCGAGCGGGGCGAGTTCCCGCGATGCTTTCGCTGGAAAGGCGAATACGACGACGCGATTACCGATGCAACGTCGCGCCGGCTTCTCTAACGTAGGATACACACACTCCGTCCTCGAGGAAACGACTCCATTACCACGCGATCGTTCGGCCGCGGTGTTAATGATAACGAGACGACGATAATCGCGCGTAATGAGTAACACCGACCGTTCGATTCCTTTTATCGAGAGTTATTAGGGCCGCCGCACACTCGTAACGATCCGGCCTCGGAAATTATACCCGAGAAGTCTCGAAACATTCAAGGATCTTAAACGCATCGCGGGGCTGCATACGAGAGTAACGACCGCGGGAGCGCGTTCCTCGATCCCCGATCCCCGGTGCGCCTTCTGTGCCAATCTGTTGCATTCTTCCATTACGAGTCCGATCGTTCAGTTTTACGAGTGATCTAATGGCGAGCCGGGCTTCCTAAACCGCGATCCGTACGCCGCGACTCCACGGGAATAATACCCGTCCGCGAAGGGTATCGGAATGATCCTCCTGCAGACGGAAAAATCAAATGTAATTCGAATTTACCGAGCCGACAATCTAACTAGACTTTCGTAACGTCGATCCGTCTTTGCGATCTCTTTCATCTCCCTCTTCGTCTTTCTTCGTATCAACCCTTCAACTACGAACAGCGCCCATAGGCGCCGTTAATTTCTTTCAAATCATCCTAAACAATGCGCAACCCGTTTGCTTATCGGCTGCTGGCATCGTGCGCTTCCTGCTCGGAATTTTTTCCATGAGAATCGAATGTAATTCCCATAAATACTATCTCCATACAAACACATGATTAGTCCGTTTCACTCTTGAACGCGCCACGGTCAAAGGGTTAAAGATCAAAATTGCTCCAATTCTTCGGTAGTCGTAGCGTCGACTTCTTCCCCGCGATACGCGACGAAAGAACGAATTCGATACTCGGTTCTAACGTTAATCGGACGAGCACGAAACGTAGTCTCGCCGCGCCGGAGAAGAAAGGGAGAGCTCCGCGCCGCGCGGAGTTTACACCGTCGAATCTCCCGGCGCGGAAGAAAGCTTCTCGACTGGTTGCGCACGGGGCACGGTCGAGCGGTCGCGCGGCCAGGAGAAATTTGTCGAAAAATCGGCGACGGGGAGAGAGAAGAACCGTTGCGCGACGCCGCGCGAGCGAGCGAGCGAGCGAGCTCCCTGCCGCGCGTGTAGGGCAGAAAACGGGTGCGTGAGTGCGCGAGCGTGGAGACGCGGGTTATACGCGATGCGATGCGATGCGATGCGATGTGATGTGATGTGCGACGAGGCGGCGATGTGCAGGAATTGTGAATGTGATGTTGATGGTTCTCTGATGGGGAGCCGATGCCACGCATCCGGTATGCGCATTCAGAGCCACGCGGGTGTGACGTTACTTCCGGTCTACATGCCCCGAGTTCGTACCCTCCGGGGCCAGATCACCTACAGTCTGACCTCCGTGAACCTAACGAGCAACCTCGCGCGCCTCGCCGCTCCGGAGTCGCTTCTCGTCGATTCTCTGTTCTATTCTCCTCCCCCTTTCCCCTCCGTCTCTCTACCCCTTGATTCTCTAGCCACGGGCACGGCGAATTCGCGGAAAGCAATGTCGAGTCTTATTAACATTTCGCCGTCTGGCGACGTTCGTCTAAGGCGAGGAGGAAATATCGAGAACAGAGGAAAGTGATAGAGATAAGCATCGCGACGAGAAAGCGAGGTTTCTTGCTCGTGTGATCGAATCTAGAGTTCGGATATTCGAGTTTCAGACAATTTGAATTTCCAGAGCTGGTCAGCAAGAAATTTCGGCAGTTGAGAATGAATTTCAGTAATTAATCCGCGTTCCCCCTTCGTTCCTCCTTTCCCCGGTTCCCCGTCGTAAGTTTTATCGGCCGTTCGACCTCTTCGTCCGCCATTGTCTCCGGCCGCGCGCTCGTTCCCGGCGGCCACTCGCTGGAACTGGAGTTTAGGCTCGGCCATCGGGCTGGAATCGGTGGACCGTGGGCCGTTTCGGAGCGTCAACGTTGAAACTCGCTCGACCTACATTTAAACACCGCCACAATAGAGGCTCGTTATCGGTGTTTGCGCGGCAGAACCGAAGCTGTTTGCTCGCGGAACGTCGCGACGTCGCTCGCGAAGTTCTCGGTCGGCGGCGTGAATTTTCGGGTATCGTGTCCGACGATTGCACGCAAGATTACCGCTATCACCGGTATCGTACAGGGATCGCGCGCGTGCTGCAACGGACGGCGAGGCAGCACCTGCCGCGACGGAGGCGCGGCGTGCATTCGCGATCGCCACCGGAGGACGTCAGAACCCTCTGACGCATTCGTTATTATGATTTATTCAGAATCTGCCTTTCTTATGAATAATAAGCCGAGCCAAGGATGCGTCCTCTTTGTCGAGGCGCGGCGAGCGAGCTCTCGTCGGGCGAGCGTCGCGTCGACTGCCCGGCGGAGCGTTTCGTTCGAGGCAGTTTGTTTTTCGAGATTCAACGCGCAATCGAACTGGAAGGACTCCGGGAAGAGTCACGATCGAACGGGGAGCTCTCGCGAGACGCGGTACGTTTCCTAAGAATGATTTACACTGAATGGAGTTCGCATGCAACTGCTCGCCGCGAGAGAGAACGCTTCGTAACGCGGCGGCTACGACCGAAGCTGTAGTAAGAACGAGCATTTACACAGCTCCCGGAGCCGGAGCGGCGGGAGCGTTCATAATAAAACAGTTTCTCGCCTCTGTGGTAACCACGTGGCGAGGGAACGCGAATTCCTCGCCGTTAAATAGAATGTCGAGAATAATTCATGCCGAAGAGTAATCTGATCTACCGCGTTACGCGGAAAGCGAAAGGATGCGCTGGATATTAAACGCGGGACGGTTAGAGGCAACCTCCTTTTCCCGCGGAACCCCCGCCGTTCGAGGAACTTTGCCTCGTTCCGCGTCTGACGTTCGAATTCGAACATTCGAATGCAAGTCGCAGCCTCGGAGCTTTAAAAAATCCAGTGTTCACACGCTTGAACACAAATTCAGAACTTCGAAACTTCGAAGATTTCAACATCCTAAAAGTCGAAACCTAACTTCGAATTTAGTTCGCTCGACGCAGAACGCAATCTCTGTCGTCGGAATAACGAGTGCGTCCACCGTGCAACAAAGTAAATTCATTATTATCGTCGATAAGAGAGGACCGCTACCGGGCGCAACAGGCGATAGTTAATTAAAAGCTCCGCCGTGACGCTCGGCAGTCGTAATCTCTCGGCATCGGCGCGCGGTTTCCCTTCCGACCGCCGGCCGACCGGCAAAAAATCCAGACAAGGAGGGATAGACGGACTGGAGAAGGAGCTGGAAACGAAGAAAAGAGAAGAAATTGGCGCGGTACACCTGTGCGGCGGCGGCGGCGGCGGCGGCGGCGGCGCGATGCCGAAATTTATCACTGGACGGGCACAGGTACATCGTATCGTTGGCAAACCTCGCTCGCTCGCACGCACTCGCTTGGCCCGTCGGCACATGGACGGCGGTGTTCCTAAACCAACCGACCGACCGAAATCACGGTCGGCGTTTCGATTATTGCCGGGAAAGGTTGCCTGCGCGTGGCACCTGCGCTCGCCACAGTGCCTATCTTCCTCTCATTCTCTCCGTTTCGCCCGTGTTTGAGGATCGATGGGGGCTCGATTGCCTTTATCGCCGCTTTTAGACACCTCTCGACGCTGGTCCTCTCGATCTCTCTGTCCCCCGTGCCTCGTAAACTTCGGACGATAAATTACCGCGGCTCTATCACACGCCCCTTTCTTTTTCGCCCTCCTCCTTGTTCTCTTTTCTTTTCGTCTCGTCGTAAAGTTCCGGGGACGCGATGCCCGTTGGCTGTAGGTAATTACCATCGGGACTTCGAATCGCTATAAACATGTTCGTGCGGCGAGAAATTCGTATCGCTTCGAATGGAATCGTTCGGACGGGCACTCTCTCGAATTCCTGGAAATCTCGGATTCCAGTCGATCCTTCGTGCAACGATATTCTCAATTCGAATTCGGAACGACTTTTCTAAGTTCCTGGTCTTCCGGGACGCTCGAAAATCGAATTCCTAGAGTTCCGAAGGGATCGGTCCGCTTTGAAAATGGAATTCAAACGTCCACCGCTGGTCGATAGTGGCGGCGATAGCGTCGTTCCCACATCGAGGAAAAAGCGGACGAACGGGGCGCGGAGTCCTTGAATGGCCATATCGAAATCGGCGGGAGTCCGATCTCGCGATCCTCGTCGCGCATCGGCTACGTGACTCGCGAGAGTAAGGTCCTTTTTATGAATGAAGGGGGCCTCGCCGCGGCGCGGCGCGTTCGTGGAAACTCGCCGATACGTGTGCGTGTATACACGCATCTATGTATACGTATGCCTGCATGCACGTACGTACGCACGTATGTATGTACGTCGGAGCGGATCGACGCCGGCGCGCGTTCCGCGGCGATAATGCATAAATAGAGAAAAGGTGAGAGCAAAGAGGACGCGAAGCGCGCCACACGAAGGCGTCTAACGGCACGGTACGATCAAAGCGGCCGCCGATATTTGAGGATCGCGCCGATGTTTGCCGAACTTATTCCTTGTCAGCACTGTTAACAGACTTGCGAGTTCTCCCTCTCCCTCTCGCTGCCAGCGACGCGTGAACCTCTCCTCCCGGTCCCTTATTCTTCTTCCTCTTCTTCTTCTCCTCTTTCTTTTTCTCGATTGTCCTTTAGTCCTCTGGGACTAGCCGTTCTAACGCTCTCAACATTCGTTTCAACTGTCTAAATTTCATTTCAGCCGACTCTCCGGCTCGCGGTCTCGCTTGTTGAAGTTTTTCCCTCGCGATTAGTCGAACTTGATCGTCACGTTCGAGCGCGGACGGTGTTCCACTCCGAATCGAGGAAAACGCGGGGAGAAAACGTCCGCGAGCGGCAGGGACGCGATCACCGACGCGCTATCGTTCCTCCGGACGAGCCGGCCGCTGATTCGCCGGCCGCAGCTTTTAATCAACCGCGCCGCAATAGGCTAATCTGGGCAATTAGTTTCCTACGACGTAATCAGACGTCCAGATAAGGTGGAAACGCTCGGGTGGGAGTTAAAAGTCCTGTATTACATTAGATTACTCTTCGCCGTGCATTATCATCGCCCGGAGAGAGAAATATGCAGATCGCGACGCGCCGACAGAACCAGATTATCAGAGGGAAGCGAGAAAAGGTCCAGCAAAAACCGGCCGGTTTCCATTTCTCGGCTCGGCGCCCGGGCACCGCACAACACGCAATAATCCGACTTCATTAGAAAAACAGATTAACGTTGCAACAAATTGCGCCCGGGATTCTTACGCGACCGGCCGGCCGGCCGGCCGGGAGTAGCTCCGAGGGAAGGGACTCGGCCCGAGAGAGCACGCGAACCGCTTTACATAATGAAATTTTAAATACGGATCAACGACCGATCTACATTTATGACTGTCTCCCGACGAGCGACTCCTATCTCTCGTTTTTCCCTGTTCGAACCGTGAAGATCCAGCACTCGCGAGCAGCCAGGAGATCGCTCGGAGAAAACGTTTAGATATCTAGAGATACTCGCACGAAACAGCCTCTGACGTGGAAATTAGCCAACCGCGGCTATAAATCACCGTATCCCACTCGAAATTTCTATTGTTCCGACGTATTGTTCTACACTTGCGTAAACGGGTGATCCGCCAAAGTAAATGGAACAGAAATTACATAAAAGAAAGTGAAAGTGCGAGGAGGACGCGGGATCTTCCCGAAAAAATTCGTCGAACCCGGCCGCTCGCGCGTCTCGTCGGTCGGCCGACGGCGACGGAGAGTGGGACGACGTGCCTCGTTAGGACGGACGGGGTTCGTCGTAATTTCTGTTTGCATTATGAGCCGAACTGTACTTTTACGCGGGAAGATACCGCGAAACAATGCAAGACACGCGTGCAAATATGGGCGCGCACCTCAAATGGGACATTCCGATGTTTCTCGGTATTGCTTCCACCAAAGATGGCCGGGCCCGAGCACCGATCATGTCGTCAACCCGACACAATATCTCCCGGCTTCGAAAAGCCTTGCGTCACGCGCCGATTCGTCGCCTCGCGGCTCGCCCCGTCATCGCCGATCGGCGAGATCGTCCCCTCTGACCGGGGGGAACCTCGAGGCTCCCCCGAAGTATCGCGGTAGTCCAATTATTCATCGCGTTAACCTCTCGTTCTACGACTTCTCCCACGTCTATACCCCGCGGAGCTACTTTCTCGTTAATAATTCATTCGGAAGAACAAAGAAATTTGATATTCATCCGACCGCCGCGCTCAAGATTAACGATCGACAATGTAAAAGTATGATTTAATTCGCATTCAGGAAAAGCGAATTGATACACGCGTTCGTCGAATTCGGTTTAAAATGTTCATCACGAGTCCGAGACGATGATGCAGCGCGAGGGGTTAACGCGTTCGCGCGTGTAGCTTCGAGTCGCAGAGGATCTCCGAAAGAAGCGCGCTTTGACAAGACGTTATTGGCCGAGCGGGGCTCGAGTTCTTGTTACGGCGAGCCGGCGCGTTTTTAATGAAACGCCGGATTCTAATCTCGCGGAACGAGTCGATACGAATCGAATCGAATCAAATTCACTTCTCCGTAATGCAAGGGATTCCAGGGAATTTTTCTCCGGCCTGCGCCATCGTGCGTTTCCATGTAATTAATATACGAGTACCAGTTCAGCCGTGAATGGGATGAATTCCCATTCGGCCGATGAAATATTCTTTCCCGTGCTCGCTATAAAATTGACAGAGACGGTCGGTCGCGTTTCCTTGGCCGCGTATGGGACACCGGAGACCTATCGTGAAACGTGAATAGAAGAACCGTTCCGGGCATTAGAATAGATACCGATCGTTTCCCGTTCGAAAGCACCTGGAGCGTTATTAGTCACTGATTCGATTTGAATAATCGTTCCGCGCAAGGTAGTTGTTACTTTTTACTTGTCGCCGGCGAGCCGGTGGACACTGTTCGACGGACGGAGTCGTTAACGCGTTCACTGCCACGGAGATTTTCAACCTTTCGCGTAATATTCTCCCTCTAACGAAGACAAACGCTAATGGAAATCATTATTAACCTTTGCGCTCGAAAGTCTAATACTCAACATTTTCTTATGAAACACGGACGATGTCTCCGAATTATTTTGACGTCTTTCGAATGCAAAGCGTTAATTTCTCTCCCTGAAAACCAATTCAGAGATTCGGTCTCGAAGAATTTTCACCTATTTCACGCGGAGACTAATTTTGTTTGTTACTCGTTCTGCATAGTGATACATTGCAAAAGAATGTAGTATGTGTAACGTGACAAGACTATTGACGTGCATAAGACGTCATTAGCAATTTTAACGAAAACATCTCGGCGCACGTGGCACGTCTCTCCAGCGTAAGATGTTAACGATTTTCCATCGTAGTTACGTTACACTAACCATTCGCGGTTCAAAATATTTTCGGAAGCCCCGATCGTCCAGCGACCGCGTCAACGCGCTCGATTACGCGCTCCGCAGTCGGACCCGAGCGTTTCCCATGATCGCGTGATATACGGAAACCGCGATCGCGATTTTTCTCCGGCGTCCGAGTCGATTCTTCCTCTCCTTTTTTTCCCGGCGACCACGGGGAAAACCCGTTATTAGCGGAAAAAATATCGCCCGAGTGGGAACGCGCCGGATAATTTGCGGAAAGGGGAGCGGCGGCGGGGCGGACCGCGTAGATTAAATGCAATTTTCACACTCTACCGAATCTGCTATTAACGCGGGGATAATTATAGAAATCGAAGCTCGTCCGTGGAACCGTGCATATCGGACGAACGTCGATCTCTTTATTAATTCGCACGGTTTGATCGGCGCCGAAAGTGTTCCAGAAATTTCATTAACCCTTTCCGAAGTGCTCTTGTTCATTCAATTACTTAACCCTTTGTGGGCCGAATTTTTGTTCGCGATTCTAACAAAATCTATGCAGAACGAAATTAATAAGTATCCGCATATGAATACAATAATTTCAATAATTTCATCAGACGAATATATTCTGTACTTTCAAGTTGCAATGACAAACTTTCTCGCCTGAGCGTATGAAAGTTTAAGTTAACCGATCACTTAATTTTATGCACCACTTTGAGTGCGAAACGAAGTAAATCGACGAGATGCCAATATACTGATATGTGATTTCAAAGTTACACGAGCCTACAGAGGTTAATACGACGCTCTATTTATTTATTCAATATTTAGGAGTCATTAAAGTGTTACCTTTAAATGGTACAATTATCAGTCTACAGATAAATATAGAAAAAATTGTAGAAACAGCTAGAGGTCGCGATAAAATAGAATGTCGAGTCTAACTCGACTGCCAAGGGTTAAAAGCCAACGACGACACTGACGACGATCTTTTTCAGACCCGAGGCACTGGTCGGAAGCAGCTGTCGCCCACTGGTTGCACTGGGCGATCGGCGAGTTTTCCCTGGAGGGTGTGGCGATGCAGCCCTGGCAGCACATGACCGGGAAACAGATTTGTGCCATGGGGAAGGAGTCGTTTTTGGCACGTGCGCCGGCCTTCATGGGCGATATCCTGTGGGAACACCTCGAGATCCTCCAGAAAGGTACGTGACTTTCTCCTCGAACGTCGCTCCCAGTGGACGCTTCAGGTTCGTTTGTTTATCCGCACGCGGTGCGGACCGATCTTCCTCTCGCTGCGTCCCTCGAGTGGGAAGATCTCAAGGGCCCCATACGCGCTGACATGCGGCGATGGATTCGAGTATCCCAGAGTTACATGTTGCAGTCAAAGGTGAAGAAGGCTCGGAGCCATCGTTCCTAGAGATGCATGTTTCAGCGCGTATGGAAACCTTCAGGGAGATCTTGGGAAGATCTCTGGATCGACGCGATGCCGATACATCTGTATAGCTAGAATAGGACAGTTGTTTCGACCGAACGAACGAGTCGGCACCACGAATCGTCAGAGACGCGAACAAACTTCACGTGCACTTCCTTGCATTACAATTTCACGTGCAAGCACGCGTGAAAGCGTCCCTCGCGCAACACGGAAAACCACGCGACAAACGCGTCGATCGCGTTAGCGTCCGATTACCAGAACGATCCCGAGGAACCATTCTACGCGGAAAGCTAGCATTCATGCCGGATCCCCGTTCGGGATTCGGGGCACAAAGGGCCCCATTAATAGAACAGAAGCTCGTCCCACAATTCGCCGATTTCCGGTGGATCGGCGGGCCCGTACCTGTTGCTCGAGGACACACGAGCCCCCGTAGGATCGTGCGACGGACAATCGCGCCGGGAAGAGGGTGCGAGGGTTGGCCCGACGGAAGATTCGCGAGCGGGGAGGCAGGTTGACACCGGAAGGGCAGTTCTCCTCGGACACGACCCGTCCGTCGCGGTGTCCGCCGACAAAAACAGATATCGAATTTCCGTGAAATCGCGATGTCACGGCAGGTACGCCGGCCCGCGAACAATGCCGGAGAGATCGAGGAGGCGAGACGCGTCCCCCCTGCCCCGCTTTCGCTCGCGTTTTCAGCGTTTCGAACCGTTGAATCGGCAGTTTTTATTCGAACCAAGGAGAGAATGGGGGAAAAAGAGAGCTGCTGCTGCCGGAGCAGCAGCGCGCGCCATAGAAACTCCCACTCCGGATATCCTGTGCCACCAGAATGGTCCCGTGCCATTGCCTCGGCCACTTAGCCGCTTTTTCGGGCCCGGCTCGCTCCCCCCCTCCCGCTCGTCACGTACTCGTGTTTTACCACCTCCGGGGAATTCGTGTTTCGAGACCCCTTCTCGGCCGAGGGCTCCGTTCGACGGGCGAATCCTCGAGTTCTCGGCGTTAAGCTTGAACGCTCAATTAACCCCTTGCACTCGACAGTTGACTGTCGCTCACGATTTCATTCGGCGCAGGATTAGATTTGACGTACAGCGTTGAATTCGATACGGTGAGTCGGAACGTAGAGATGAGATACTTGGCACGATTGGTACGATGAAAACGATAACGGCAGACGGTAATTAAATAAGGAAACTCGAGTCCGCCGGGGGACGGATTCGAGAAACGAGAGATTTTCGGAAGCGCGGCACGCGTCCGAGCGGAGCGCCTCCGTCGCACGCCTCGTGCCCCGGTTTATTATTTACGAGACGTTCATCGTTCGTATCGTGTATCATTCGCCGGACAGAGTTTCCCTGGAACTCGTACATGCTCGGCCGGAGAAGACAGGAAGGCCGCGAGCGAGAGGGACGGCCGAGGGAGAGAGACCGGCCGGACAAGGTATGAAACGATCCGGGCAGGAAGCGGAGGTTCACCCATGATTTAACTCCCGTTAAGTAAAAAGCCCGTACTTCCTTATCGATTATTCGTGTCGTCCGATCGGCGGAGGTGCCGCGATTCGATCGATCGGCCCCGATTGGACGCGTAACGCGACCGACGCCGCGGCCAATTCGATATTTATACGGAACCGCCATTCTCGTCGCATCGATCGGCTGTACCCGTGAAACTGTCGCGCACGCGTGCACGGAAACGTTGAGACTCCTGCACGGACTGGATCGAGGGAAACGAGGCGGCGAACGGCAGAGGAATTTTCCCTTTTCCTCTGCTCTCTCCTCCTCTTTCGACGTTTTCCCGACGGAGAACAGAGGACGACAGGGAACAGGCGTCGGAAGCGTTTCACGGCGAAGGGGAGAAACGAATTCTGCGCGTGGAAAGCGGCAGAAAGCCCATTGGCCGGCCGATTGTTTCGGCCAAGCCCGTTTAATCGCGGAACATTGGAGGGCTCCTGATCTCCGGCGAAT